AACACAGCTCTCCTTGTGCAGATTAGTGTGAGCTAAAGGAAACTTTTCAACACACTCCACTGTGACGCCCTAGTCAGAAGTTCAATAAGTTCATAGGGGTCAACTTTGACAAGAGTCAGTCTGGCTTTGTTCTCTGGAGGCCTGAGAAAAGTCATGGAACCCAGATACAATTAGTGATACCGCCATGAATCCAGAGGGATTGGCCCGAGAGTAGCGTGTGTTCTGCAGCGTAAGCATACACTGCTCGCACACAGCCTCTCTCAAACAATCACGTGTGCTCCTAAACAGTCACACACACATGCACACTTTTCTAGTAATCGTTTCAGAAACTACATTGATAGAGCACTGGGCAAGCAACCATTCGTGTGGGGATCCAGAAACTGGCTTCTGTTGTATATAATGTCAGCGCTGAGTGGTTTTCAGTGTTTGGCTACTGAACTAGTAGTTCCTACCTTTACATTCGTCTACCCAAATCTCTTGTGGAGTGTTTAAAAACAAAATTCCTGGGCCTTGCACCTTTCAAAATTCCAAGTCATCAGGCCTGGGGCAGAGTCTAAGAATCTGCATTTGGCAGACAAATCAATAAGAGGCCACCCCAAATGAATTACACTTTGAGTAATGATTTTCTGACGACGTGTGAATACTTTTTCAGGCCAGATGGGCCTACCTCTTAGCACTGAATCAATGAGACCAATGAGACCTCAGTGGCTTTGGAAACTCAAGCATAAAAGTCTGGTTGCAGCCTGGTTACCTTATCTGGGATGTTCCAGTGTGCCTCCCTTCCATATTTAGGTCATAAGGAGGACTGTATTTAAGAGTGACACCTAAAATGAGCCCACTCTCTTACTCCTGGTGTTCACACCTAGTATCTTCTTTGATCTTGGCCAAGATGGCACTCAAACCCAAATCTTTTGATGATGCCAAACCCAGCATGTGTCACTGAACCACAGTTGTCTTCACTGGCTGACCAGGAGCGTCATAAAATGAAGTCTTTGTACCAGGTAATATTCAGAATATTTAGCAACCAGTAAAACAGGTGCAGGTCCCCTCAGAGCTGGTGCGGATGAGGGCTCCCCACCCCACTCCCTGGTGGTAAAGTACCCTTCTGATGATGGTAAAGTACCCTTCAAGATGTTATCACCTGGGACTTGGGCCCCTAATTAGGGGTGGAAGAGAGAAGCAGGAAATTACCTGCTTTTGCCCAACTTCCAGGACAAATGACAGTAAACAGAAAATGATGACCAAAAATTACAAGTTCACTCTTTTCTTGAAATAGAGTCAAAGGACTGAATTAGCAGGTTGGTTTCCATGGGCATGGGGACAGGTTGTTTCCCCCTCCAAACTACAGCTCAGACCCATGGCCTAACAAGTGTTCCTGTATTTATGAAGGTAAAAGGTCACAGTATTGGAAATCATGACTGTCATACACATTTGTGAGAAATGCTGGCCAAATCTCAGACATCATTTGGTAATCATGACTATGCTTTACTATCCCATAGGGTAGCTAAAAAGTCACCAGGAGAAGCTTTATTTCCTTACTGTAAAGAATCGCCCTCTTTCAGGGCTCAGCTGCAGACACCTGGGATGAGTTCGTGGGGAGGTCTAACAAGGTGACTCATTAAGTCCCAACTAACCTCCCAGTTTGGCCTGGATCCAGTGCAGGTCAGCTGTCCTTTAACCCTCTGTCAGGGCCTGTAAGGAGCCCCATGTGGGGTGAGGTTGATTTTCTCTGCAGATTGCAGCTGAGAAACAGCTCTGGCCAACTGTTCCTTCTTTTTTTTCTCCCATATTCGCATTCCCAGCTGGTGGGCATCTTACCTGTTCTATCCAGAGTTTTTGTACTTAATGTTTAATCCTCTTAAATTTCACAACTCATGATTTTGTTTCCTTATTAAGTTCGACTTTCACTTTTGATAGAAGTGTCTAGCCTTCCCTTTGTGTGTGTGTGTGTGTGTGTGTGTGTGTGTGTGTGTGTAGCCATTTAAATGTGGAACATTATTATCCTAAGTGCCCCAATTCTGACTTGAAATGATTTCCGATTTTAAATCATAACATTCTGATTTAAAATCCCACACTTAATACAGCAATGCCTAATAACCGTGCCCACAAGGTATTTAATATAATTGGAAAATATTTTATTCTGGCTTCACTTCCCTTGAAGCATTCCAATATCACTCATTCAAGGAGCTAAAATAGAAGCTTGATCTTGGAATTAATTGGAGATTAACACCAAATCTTAATTTTAAATGTATCAAAGGAAAGAAAACAATTTAGACCCCAGTGTACATCAAAGGATAATTCTATCTGGCAATGTACAATGGCCTTGCGGCAGCCTAATCTCTCACCACACCCTTATGCTTCCATAGCTACCGCACCACAGAAGCCACAACATCTTTAGTGCCATTGCCTCACGCAAGGACCTCTCCCAGAGCACCGTGGCTGGGATGTAATTAATTGCAACTATTTGCAAACTCTCAGAAGCCGGTTACACACCAACAGAAAATCTCCAGCCAGTCAGTAAGCGGCCTCCTTGGAAGTCATTGATAAACTGCCTTCTGATGGCTCCTCATTGAACACTAATGGAACCCTGGCAAGGATGCCAACTTGGCCCCTGCCCTGCTTGCAGCCTCTGTGGTGGGAGAGGCCCTTCAGGCCCTGGGGTGCTAGGCCACAGGGATGAGTGAGAGGCCAAGAACAAGGTGGGAGAGAATTCGAGTCCAACACCAGCTGCATGCAGGGTTCAAAGTGGTGTCAGATGTCAGCACTTCGCAGGGAGGAGATTCCTATGCACATACCTTCTTCTCTTAGGCAAGGTCTCTGGTGCATTTTTCTTTTCTTTTCTTTTCTTTTTTTTTTTTTTTTCATTTATTTGAAAACCTTGCACTGCAGAGGAAGGGGATTATGTGCTGGGAGTGTTTCATTTTCAAATGTTTTTGCACATAGCTTTTTGCCTCCCACCAACATTTCAATCACCCATAGTGAGGTTCACTAGCAAAAAGGTTTTCATTTAAAATTTGAGTAAACAGAGTACAGTCAAAAAGTATTCAGCACGCCTAATTCTGAAAGAGAGAATTCGGGATAAAGTTAGCCATCTTTTGGTTGAAACTGATGAGCCAGGACTTCATCATCCGAACCTCGAATCAACCTGCCTGTAATTTGAGACTTAGAGCGAAATTTAAGGGCTTGAAAAGCTAAACTGGTATTTCATTTAGGTGAAAATATTGTAAGTGTGTCTTACTTTCTGACCACATTTACTAAAAAGGGTTTTCCTTCTGCTACTTCTTGTCCCCTGTTCTTTTTCTTCTTTTCCTGATGAGTGTAACTGAACAGAATTTTTAAATGATCCTCAGTGCAACTCTTGAGTCACCTTTTCTCCAGTGCTCTCTGCTCTGAGTTTCCAAATACTAAGCCTCAAGTGGCTTCCTATAAAGTAGAGACCGGGGCTCCTCCTGGAAGCAGAGTGTCTATGGTAGAGATCTTTTTTACTTTTATTTTAAAACACTTCTCAGGGGCAACCTTCCCCTTGCAAGGGCTCAAGCGATTACTGCGCATACAAAGGAGGCTAAATCCTCTACTCTGGGGACAGCCAGTTCCAATGGGACACCCCTCCCCCACTCTCCGTGCTGGAAATGGTTTTTTATCTCTAAGAGGGGTTTTTAGCTTGAACTGATAAACAAAAATATGTCATTAGTGAGTGTTTTCCTGGGTATAGTGTATCCCGCAAAGCATTTTTCCTAAGAGGGAAATGTTAAGCTCTTGATAAATGAATAACAAACTCTTGTTCTCCAAGGTAAATTATGACAACGAAAACTTTCTCCAGCCTAAAAATCTAATACTAATCGTTGGCTCAGTACGGTAGAATCTCCCTAAACTTTTGAACGCAGCCCACGTTTCTCAGGCCTTCTTTTGGCAAAAGACGAGGGGAGCATCTCCCAAGGATGAGAGATCACCTTATCCTTTTACTGCAGCCCAGAGATCTTTCCCTCTTTAAGCGTGGGATGGAAGTCTTGAGGACACCCAGAGGCTTGCCCCAGGCTTCAGACATTCTCAGTTAGCAAAAAAAGAAAGAAAGGCCAGCTTGGATATCAACAAGGCAGAAACAGAATAAGCCAGGGAGCTCCATTCTGATAAGATTGCAGATCTTCTGCGAATCAGGTAAACTGACCTGCAAACAGCTGCCCTTGCTTGGGCAGAGGCGGCCTCTCCTGTCCTGGGCTTTGTATCTGGGGCATTCATTCTCCAAGCACCGTTAATGGCAAGAAAAGTTACAGATAGGCTCTTTCCCAGCTTCTCTGAGCAAGGAGGTTATTCTTTCACTTTTATAAACATTTTTAATCGCATCTTCTTACCTTTCCTCTGTGCATCAAAAAGAGGTTATCTAAAACTGAATTATAACCGTCTCTAGGCTATGTCATAAATACTGGGAGAATCATCAATTTTAAGAGGATTTTATCACCAACACTTTATAGCCCTTGATTGAAATGAAATAATAGACATAAGGAATGCTTGACCTCTAAAATGACGCCCCAACCCCTGCCAAAGGAAAGCCCACTTAAAAAAAAAAAGAAAAAAGATTGTAGGAAAATGCTCTTCAGACCTAAATGTCAGAATGCAGAAAGTTATTCCTTTATTAAGACTCTGCAAATCGGCCTTATTTTAAACCCTTTTATAATAAAGCCCATATGTCAGAATAATGATGTCAAAACCCTTAAACTACACTGGTAAATTGAAAAGGTAATGGAAAATGAAAGGTTTTACTCAAGTTTTTTTATTTTTTTTTTTGCATTTTGCTGGAAGTTCTGCCTATTAAAAAAACATAAATAAGTAAAACAAAAGTGTAACCGGCATATCTAGTTTTAACTTTAATAAGATAGTTCTGACTATTTTACTTTATGATTTTTGTTGTTTTCAAATTAAATGAGGTTTTATATAATATCAACTATAAAAAGTGCAAAAAAAAAGTTAGAAAGAGGGGTGCCTGGGTGGCTCAGTCGATTAAGCGTCTGACTTCAACTCAGGTCATGATCTCGTGGTTCATGAGTTTGAGCCCCGCATCTGGCTCTGTGCTGACAGCTTAGAGCCTGGAGCCTGCTTTGAATTCTGTGTCTCCTTCTCTCTCTGCCCCTCCCCCTCTCATGCTTTGTCTCTCACTCTCTCTCAAAAGTAAATAAACATTAAAAAAAATTAAAAAAAAAAAAACTTAGGAAAAGCATATGCCTAGAATTAAGGAGTCCTTGACCTTAAACGGTATGATTATAGTTGATGTTTTTTTTCTTACTTTTTACAGTTTTTGGAATTTTCCAATTTTCTTATAGTTAATATTTATGACTTTTAAATTTTAATATAATTTTGTTTCAAGTAGAAAAAGACTCCGATCATGTTATTTAATTCTTGGGTGTTTTATTTATTTATTTATTTATTTATTTATTTATTTGTAATTTTTTTCAACGTTTTTTTTTTATTTATTTTTGGGACAGAGAGAGACAGAGCATGAACAGGGGAGGGGCAGAGAGAGAGGGAGACACAGAATCAGAAGCAGGCTCCAGGCTCTGAGCCATCAGCCCAGAGCCCGACGCCGGGCTCGAACTCACGGACCGCGAGATCGTGACCTGGTTGAAGTCGGACGATTAACCGACTGCGCCACCCAGGCGCCCCAATTCTTGGGTGTTTTAAATGAGAGACATTTGACCCTCTTTCCCCTTCTCATCCCTCCATTCATCTCTGGATTGAGTTCCTCCTTAGGTTGCTTTTTTTTTCCTCTTCTCATCTCCCATCCTTCTGCTCTTTCTCCTTCTGTTAGGGTGTCCCCTGCTTGGGACTGAGCTGCCTGCCTAACCCTAGGAGGCTTTTATGGAAAAGAGGCCAGAGGGAGAAGGAGATTGGTCCTGACTGGGCCAGCAAAGCTCCAACTCCATTTCAAAGCCAAAGAGTTGAGACCACCTGCCTCAGCAAACAGAGGAAGGAACTAAGGTCAACCATGGAGTGACTTGCTCTGGGTCACACCACCAGTTTGGGGCAGGATGGAAATTAGAACCCGGGACGAGACGTACAGCTTGCATTTGTGAAAGGCTGTTGAGAGCAGCAAACACGGAAGCACACAAGGAATGGTGCAGACATCTAATGTGTGAAGGAGCCTGGATTTTTGCAGAAACATACTGCTGACTCTGGTTTGGGGTGTGTGTGTGTGTGTGTGTGTGTGTGTGTGTGTGTGTGTGTGTGTGTGTATTTCATCTCCCCACCTTAGATAGAGACATAAGCATGGAGAAATGTTTCTCTGCTGTGAGAGACACAGCCGTGTCAAAGCAAGGAGAAACAGAGACTGACCTGTGGCCTCAGTGTCACTGGAAGCAGAGGAGCTATAGCCACCACATCTCAAGGGGACTGCCCCTCCAGCTGGTTATCTCCATGTAAGAATCTTCTGATTCGACAAGAGAAGTAAAAAATTAGGATTTTTGTGTGAAATTTCCCAGTTTTAAATGTTGATGCAAATATTTAAAAATGCTATTTAAGCCACTCAAAATATGACAGAAGTTTGCGACCCTTGATGTCAAATGTGAGAATAGGGCACGGCTGCCTGGGGATCTTAGAGTGAAGGTAAATGTTATGAGGCCCGTGACACAAGAGGGATGGGCAACCATCTACCACTGCTGACGGTTGATCTCAGAATGCAATAGCATCAACATATATGGTCAGCCCAGGGGCATACCGGGGCACTGGGTGTTCTTGGCAACTGCTCTTTCTAGGCTTTTCATATCCTGCCTGGCCTTTTCTCCCCTTGTACATGAAAAACAGGATGAAATTGCTGCATGCTTGGCTTATAACTAATACACAGACTCTCCCTAGCCACTGGTAGAAAGCTGAGGCAGTAGATTGGAGTCTATTTGGATCTAGGTGTGGAAACTTGAATGTAATACACAAGGTTCCCCCAAATATGTGAGCCTCTACTCTGATGCCCATCAGAGGGATCCTTCTTGTCAGGTATGGGTGTCTGGTTCTGTTTCCTCTCACCCTCATTTAGAAAAAAGGAAACCTCTCCACAGCACAGAGCTTATTTATTCATTCTGTATGTCTAAAAGTTGGCAAAGACCACACCATCTCATTCTCTTTGAAATCAACTCATAAGAAAAGGCATTGTTTAATGTAGCACTCAACATCAGATTAAGTGAACTTCAGAAAGCCCTGGTGAACATTTGAATTCATGTGTGTCATGAGAACAAACCATTCTGAAGGAAACAGACGGCTCTAGAGTTTGTCTTTGTTTCTCCTGCCAGAACATTCCAGCGGAGCACCACAGAACCATATTGGATGGTTTGGGGATCTGTGTAAATTCTGTGAGAAAATTTAGAGTTCTTCTTTTGTTTTGAATGTTATACCATTTGTAAAGAAGCAGTGGTTGAGTTTACAGTCATTTGTAAATTCAGTTGCTTTTAAATCTTCAAATCAAAAAATTATGTCTCATTTTAGTTTTTCCAAGGTTCATTCTTTAGCACAAGAACAGTCTTTTTGAACGAGCTTAGATCTTGTGCGAAAGAGTGTGACAATTTTGCTAATGCTTTGCGCATACTTGTAGTCACTTAGTAGTCAATACTTGTTATACATGATTAAATGTTGAGCCTCCTGGCAAATGGCTACAGCGTGATAGAATCCAATGGAAAAGTGCTATACGTAGTGCATCCAGTGAAGTTTTCCACCCTCCAAAATTAAGGGAGATGCCAAATTCTTCATGACTAATTTCATAAACTATTTAAGCATTTTCCTAGCTTACTGTTTTCTGATGCTGTTTTACAACATTTCACTTACAATTTATTATGCTAGCTTAACATGAGAAATTGTTCTTTCTTTTTAAAGAAATGCTATTTAGTCTGACTAAAGATTTATGCACCTATCTTCTTCCAGCTCACAACCACTGTCCACTTTGGGCTTCGTTGTCTCTGGCCCAGACTATTGTAGTTAGCCCCCATCTGGACTTCCTGTCTCACACAGTCTACGGGGGCACACTGTTTTTGGTCTTTGTGAAATGCCAGTCTAATCCTGGGCTGTGACCTACTAGATAACAAGAGCCATTGAGCACTTCCTGCACCTGGCATTGTGTTAAGCACTTTGTATTCATTATCTCATTTAATCCTTGTAACAATCCCAGGAGGTAATCTCCATTTTACAGAGAAGCAAAGGGGGGCTCAGGGAGGTTAAGCAAATTGTAGATTACATTGTGGGCTTCATTCATCCATTTAATTACACATACTTTCCCCAAACTGCAGCCAGCCATAGCAGCATGATGGCAGAATGCAGTAGGCATGGTGCCATCTCTGTCACATGCTGTCTTCCCTATCTGGGAGGCTCTCACTCATTGGCACCGAAGTGAGTTCTCTCCATCGTGAAGTCTTCCAGATATCCTTCCAGTTTCCCACTTAGTCCCAACATTTCTCCAGAACACGTCTGGCACCTGTTGCTTTGCTTTTGTAAGTTTATCTGTCTTTCTGTTTTATCAAACGTCATAAGGGCTGAGACTTAACCATATCGTATTTGTAGTCATTTACACAAAGCCTGGAAATAGTGGGCACTCAATAAATGTTTATAAAATGGGTTCTGAGGTCCTCAAGAGTGTCTTACTGATCTCTATATCCCCCAAATTAAGTTGTGGTACCAGGAGATCAACCAGGAAGGGACAGATTGACCGAAGGCAGTTCCAGTGGTCTGTGCAGTTGGGATGTCACAAGCCATGGGGCAGAGAATCAGCAGACAGAGATGCTAAAGCTGGAGATAGAGAAACCCAATTGGGGGCCAGCTGGACAAAGAGGGGGTTGGATATGGAACACGTAAAGATGGGGTGGTGTATTAGTCAAGGTTCTCCAGAGAAACAGAGCCAATATGAAAAGAAATTTATTATAAGCAATTATGGCTCACATGATTATGAAAGTTAGAAGTCCCAAGATCTGCGGTCAGCAGGCTGGAGACCCAGGAGAGCCCATAGTATAGTTCAGTCTGAATGTCAGCGCACTTGAGACCAAAGAAGAGCCAATGTTTCAGTCCCAGAACAAAACATCAGGAACAAAACTGATGTCCCACCCCAAGGACACTCAGGCAGGAGGAATTCCCTCTTACTTGTGAGAGGATCAGCCCTTTTGTTCTATTTGGGCCTTCAACTGATTCGGATGGGACCTACCCACATTGAGAAGAGCAATCTGCTTTATTCAGTCTACCAAGTCACATACTAATCTCATCCAGAAACAGCCTCACAGACAAACACAGAAAACTGTTTGCTCAAATATCTGGGGACCTCATGGCCCAATCAAGTTGGCACAGAAGATTAACCGTCATATATGGGGAGTAGGCTAGCATTGACCCAGGAAGACTCTCATGGGCAATGAGTCCATTGGCAATGGGTAATGAGTTCCAATTAGAGTCCCTCTTTTATCTGCAGGTTGCTGTGGCCCCATCTGATGTGGACAGTTCTTAAAGTTTCCCTTCCTGACAGTTAACTGCTCGAGGAACCACCATCTCCCACCACTCCACCCTCAACCCTGCTCCTTCTGCACACTTCTCTCCTGAAGCTTTGAGCAATATAGGCCTTACCTTGGAGTCACCCCTCATTCACCCTGTTTCTTGCTCCTAGCATCTAACCAGTTGCCAAGACTGGTCAATCCTGCCTGTAAAATGCTTCCCACATCTCCCATTCCCTTCACTTGCCTATTGTTACTCTCCTACTTGTACAGTGATGGCTCTTCAATTTTTTAAGAGAAAAGAGCGAGGAGGGCCACAGTCTGGTTGCAAAAGAGGTTAAGGGGACTGGTTTTGAAGCCGCCTTCAAAAAGCAATATGAAATTTTCTTTAGATTGTATGTTACAAATTAATAATTAAGCAAGATTTTTTCCTTTTTAAAAAATGCTTATTTATTTTGAAAAAGAGAGAGAGAGTGTGTGTGTGTGAGTGTGTGCAGGGGAGGGACAGAGAGAGAGGGAGAGAGAGAATCCCAAGCAGGATCCGGGCTGTCAGTGCAGAGCCGGATGCAGGGCTTGATTCCACGAACC